TTAGAAATTAACATGCAAAATCATATTCTTTGACTATCCCCTTTGTTTTGCCTGAAGGAAACTGCTAATGATTTTTTGACTCAGAAAAAAAAAATTGAGATACAAACAATGTAAAATCCCCACAGTTATTTATTTATACAAATGGACATATATTCTTTTATATCACCTTTTTTCTTTACTGTACCATTTAATAAAAATCACTGACAGTACCTGGGTTGTTGTTGGGTGTGGTCGAGTCAGTCCTGACTCTCCGTTATCCTTTAGGCAACAGAAAGAAGCCGCCTGGTCCTGCACCATCCTCACAGCTCATTACAGCCACTGTTTGAATCAATTTCTTTTTTACCTCACACATTTTGCTGTCCCTTTACTTTACCAAGTGTGATGTCATTACTCAGGGGCTAATCCTTACTCTTAGTGTGTCCAGAGTATATGAACAAAGTCTCATCCAGCGTCCTCACCTCCAAGGATACTTCTTCCAAGATAGATTTGTTTGGTTTCCTGGCAGACCATGGTATACTTAATATTGTTCACAAAAACCGTAATTCACTGTCATTAATTCTTCCCCATTTTTCCTTATTTTTTATCAGCTTTTAAATACAGATGAGGCCATTAAACATACTATGTTTTTTTTCAGGGCCACCTTACTTCTCAAAACGTAATCTTTGCTTTTTAATACTTAAAAAAAAAAAAAAAAATCTTTGCCATTGGATTTGCCAAATGCAGTACATAATTTTATTTCTCAATTCTTACTTCAATAAGTGTAATTTTAGACCAAAGGAAATTTCATCCTCGACAACTTGAATATTTTCACTATTCATCATGGTGTTGCTTACTGGCCAAGTGGTGAGGATTTATATTTTCTTAATATTGAGGTTTAATCCACATTGAAAACTATGATATTTTTTATTTTCATCAGTAAGTGCTTCAAATCCTCTATACTTCCAGCAAGATAGATTCTGTTATCTTCAATCGCAAGTTATTAATGAATCTTTTTCCACTCCTGCCGTGTTCTTCTTCTTATAGCCCAGTCTCTTGAATTGTTTGCTCAACAACAGATTGATTAAGTATGGAGAAGGGACACAGCTCTGACATACATCTCTCCTGATTTTAAACCCTTATAACATAGAAAAAGGGAGCTGTGTACTTGGAAAATAATACTATTCTTTCTTTAAATGGAACTAAAGATTATCTCTCCACTGTCCTGGAGAAAAATATTAAGATCTTATGAATGCTCTATTAATTATGAAATTTAGAAAAGAAATTTATGATAAACCCA